CCGTCGTCTTCTGGTGGAACCGACCTTCGAATCTCTTCACCCAACACTTCTACTCAAAATGGAAGTAATCGCAAGGGAGAATCCCATCTATGCATCCACACTGTCCATAACCCTTCTACTTGTTTGTCTGTCTACCCAAATTGCTGTCTATCACCAAGTGGCCATCCATATTCCTACCTTATTACCCAGTTCACCTGCTGGCTAGCCAAATGTTTATTTATCTATTCGTCCACTCTTCTAGCTACCTACTAACCAATTACACGAGCCATTTTCGTCCTCATTCTTCTTCTATCTTCGAGATTGTCAGCACATCTTGAACACCATTTCTAGTAGGCCTAAGACACGCAAGGTGATGAAACATCAACATTTATTCGAGTTAGGTCGAGGTGTACGGCCTTTTTTTCATCAGCACCCCCAATGATAATGGAGCCCGGCTGGTGCAGAGTATAGTTTTGACGTACTACTTCTGCACCACTACTCGCATCCAAATGCAGGCCTTTCCCATATCACATTATATAGTGCGAGTACCGATAGGGCCATCTTATATTTTGCCATCATAACCGACTACTTTACTCATATTCATAATGAGTAGTCTTCGAAACTATCAGTAAATATATCATACGAGTTCAGCGGCAGCTGCATTCTAAATGTGATATGGAAAGTGGTAGTGTGGCGTGGTGATGACAGATTGACATTATTCGCTGCACCCGGGTTCGATTCCTGTTGAGGGTTCTAATGAGTTCCGGGCTAGGCGGAAATGGCCGTTCACTCCGGTCGAGATAAGAATATCTTTTGGGAGGCATAATTCAGTGAAATTTAATGACTTCATGGGGCCTACTCATTTTTGAAAAATCAAACTTTTAATCCCTATAGGTTTAATATCCATTTTTTGTCTGCGGTAACCATAATCTGTTGCTATCCCTCTGCGCTTCTCTTGTACTACACAATCTTGGCTTTTTTACACCCTGATTGTGCCATTCTGTCTTCTCCAGACTTGCTGCTCTATCAGCCTTCTTTGACAATTGTTCGTGGCCAAAACACCGAGTAAGATGTCTTTCACCTCCATTTTTGCAGTCTCATTTCTGGAGCTAACTTGCGCTCATTTTTATTTTTTTGCCGGCCTCTGAGGTTTTTGAATGCTTTAAGCTAAGCAGAAGTGCCGAATTTTCGACAAAAATGAATAGCTCCTTCCTTTCCAAGTCATTAAGACGATAGTCGCTTTTATTTTGTTTGGTTTTATTCAGCAACTTTTGTATCATTATAAACCAAATTGTTTTTTAATGCCTTATTTTTCCAAGTCTGGAGGTTAGGTGAAAATACGCAGAACTCTTATCTGTCTTACTACAGATACGGAAAGATTTAATTGTATTGCTTGCGAAATTCGCACAATATCACTATCGTAAATAAACCTAGCGATAGTACTCATCATTTTTTAGTAAGCCAGTTAGCACATAAGTATCGAGTAACGAATAAAAATATTTTTTGGAAAGAAAGCTAAGCTGGCTATGGTGACATGGTGGCAAAAAAACTATATACTATGCAAGTGTGTTGTCTCTTCGTCTGTACTCAAGTTTGGCGTATCTGAATAAAGAAAGCCCAGCAAAATGCCTCAAGTGCAAACCATGCCAAGCAAAGTTATTCTAGCAGAGGAGTAGTAAATAGCTGGATTGGCCTCATATTTTGTTCATCTCAAAGTGAATTGCTTACAACTTAGCGGTTCCCTCAGTATCACTACCAATCTTCTTGTCTCGGACCCTCTCTGGAAGAGTTTATTAGTCACCCAGCAACACAGAACTCCAGTGAAGTGATTTCGGTAAAGCAGATATCCTCTAAAAAGGTTCGGTCGCAGTTATCATGGGAATGGTTACAACGGCAAATGAGCCAACGGAGGATGACGAAGTGTCGCAGGACAAAAGCTATTGAATTACGGCCTAAAGAAATGGTGTTTTACCATTCGACCAGGTCATTGGTTTCGGACATAACCGTGCACATGAACACACATAATGTACACACAAATCATACAAACGGGCACACTCATAGGTTTACAGATGACTTGAGCTAACCATATCACTTTATACCTGATCGAAATGCTTTGATTTGGGGTATATAAAGAGGATCTTGGGATAAATAGGTGAGTTTTCCTGATGAGATAGCTTGAATGTGGTCGTAACAATACTGCCCAGCGCTAGTGGTGCCCGTCATATGACAGACGAAATTTGAGAATGTATTCGCCAGCATAGAAAGAGATAACTTCGGGGACAACGTCAGCAGGGATGTTGCAGTAAAGCAAACCAACAGTTGGCCAAGAGCATTCTACACTCCTCGACCTTCAATCAATTCATCAACCACACTTTCACTACAAATAGAAGTGAGCCTAACAATTGTAGACCAACAAATTCCACGAAACCACTTACTTTTCTCCTCATGAAACTCCGGTATCCTGGCGCAAAGTGAAGAAAGGTCCCCGATTTGAAACGGAGTTTGAGTCGTAGCTATTTGAGCTAGCCAGTATGAGAAGGAGATACGGCTCAGCCATCAACTCTGCAATTGTCGACCAACCAGTCGTCTGCTTCCACTCCAGTCGGCTATTCGAGTTTGGGAATTATTGTAGTCTTGGAGAATGTGCTCAATATTAGAAGTAGTCCGGCTTTATGTGATATATTCACTCTTTATGGCATT